GGAGAGGGGTGGAGGATAGAGAAATGTTGGTTAATTAATACAAATTTACAAATAGATAAGAGGAACAAGGCCCAGCCACAGTGGCACAGCAGTAGCATGCTGGTCCAACATGCTGGAGCCATATGGAAGATGGAAGTTCCGTTTCCAGTTCAACCTGTACACATCAGGCACATGTGTGTGTCCATGATCCTGGCTGGCTGGAAAGGATAAGGGAAGGATTGTGGTGTGAAACCCTGTAGAGGGAGCTTCACCCCATTCTTTCTCTCACATAAAAGATTTAAATAAACTTAAAAAAAAAAAAAAAAAGGAAGGAGCAACTGGTAAGTGGCATAGTGGTTAAGGTGCTAGACTCCCACATGGCCAATTGCAGTTTGAGTCTTGAACCTGGTGGTTTGCTTTCTCACCCCCCCCCCCCTCTGATTCTCTCTAATCAAATAAAAAATAATAATGATAAGTAAAATTTAATAATTATTTCTTTTTTTTTCTTTTTTTTTTTTTTTTTGAGAGGTTTTCACTGTAAGGCGCGTGCGCTCGCCAGACAGACAGAGAGAGACATAGAGACAGAAAGCGAGAAATCACCCCCCAGGGGGGATGGTCACGCCACAATCCCTTCTCCTCCATTCTCCTCTTGGGATCTTGGGCACGCACGCACACGCGCCCGGCATGAGTTTTAAGCCACCGGGTCCGGGACACGAACCGCGGTCGACTACGTGGGAATCCAGCGACATAGCCATTACGCTAACTGCTGGTTCCCTAATTATTTCTTTTTAAAAAAGAAGGAACAAGTTGTCATGTTGTAAGTATGTTAAGGTAACTACAGTCAATATAATTTACTATACATGCAAATAAAAAATAATAATGATAAATAAAAAAAAAATTCTGGAGCTTGGATGGGATGTGTTGCAACACCCATCATACTTATACTTGCCTGAGCTTGCTCCATCAGACTTCCATTCACTTCACTCTCTTCAAAATTCCCTGTGTGGCATAGCATTCAATTCACATGAGGCTGTAAATCAATACCTTGTTTAGTTTTTTGCTGATAAAGATAGGTCCTTCTGTAAACAAGAGATTTTGAAGCTCACTGAAAGATGGCAAAAGGTTATTGAACAAAATGGGTAATATGACATTGAGATTTGTTCTTTATATAAATAAATGACCTTTGAAAAACATAACTTTTCTGACAACCCAATAAATTTTTAGAAACAGTAAAAAATATTGTCTGGGGGCCAACAGGTGGCATAGTAGTTAAGGTGCTGGCCTCCCACATGGCCAAACACAATTTGAGTCCTGAAGCTGGCAACTTGCTTTCTCACTTTCTCTCTCTCTCTCTGGTCAAATTAAAAGAAAAAAAATGATAATAAAATTAAATAATTCTATTGAAAAAAGTTATTTTTCTGTTGGCTTTTTTTTGTTCACTTTTTTTTCTTTTGAATTGCTGGAGAATGCATGTGCTTGCCAAAATATTTTATATATCTCTTTTGTTGTACATGCCTCTTGGTTGCAGGGCTGTTTGGAAACTTAGTTTATTTAAAATAACTGATTTATGTAATAAACTTAATTTGTTTCAGAGATCCTGATGAAAAACACAAACTTATAACCAAAACAGAAGCAAAACAGGAATACCTTCTGAAAGACTGTGACTTAGAAAAAAGAGAACCGGCTCTTAAATTTATTGTGAAGAAGAATCCTCATCATGCACAATGGGGTGATATGAAACTCTACTTAAAATTACAGGTCTCTAATAAGTTGTATTCATTTCCTTTAAATTCTGGTTCAGTGAAATTTTAGCAACAAATTATAGTTGAGCTTTTGCTTACAGAGAGTGAAAAGATCCTTTTCTTGTTCTGGGTATGAGTCACAGTCCATACATGACACTTAGTAACATGTTTTCTTAGTTTGCTTTCCAGTGTGGTGCTTTGAACAAATATGTTACTATTGGGTGATGCTGGGAGTACAGTTTGGAAACTAAGAAAAGTTGTTCCCATACCCCTTTACCCCTTAAAAAAAAAAAAAGAAAGAAAGAAAAACTTAGAACTCTCATAAATGCCTGAAATCTAACTCTACATCTGGAATACAATCTGCCCATTTGGAATACAGTCAAGTTTCCATGAAACTAGTATCTCTCTGAGCAGATTTCAACTCCTCTTGCTGTCACTGGTTATAGGTGTGTCAAGATCATTATCCTCTTCATTGCAAGCTGCATACACCCAATTCCATTGCCTTGAGCTTACCCAGCTTACTGTATTTACCTCACAGTGGTACAGGTACAGTTATATGTCACTTAACAAAGGAAGATGTGCTCAGAGAAGTATGTTATTAGGTGATTTTGTAATTGTGCAACCAGCGTACAGTATACTTACACATATCTAGATGGTCCAGCCTACTACACACCTAGGCTACGTGGTAAAGCTTGTGTGCTCCTATTCCTATGACCACCACAGTGTGTGCAGTCTGTCACTTACTGACACATCCTTATGTAGTGCATGATTGCATTCTTGTGTGCCATTTTATTAAAATACTAAGAGGTATTGCCTTAGAGTACCGTCTGAATGGGAATACACTAGAAATACCCATATCTTCAAAGAAAATTAAGAAGTCACACTGTGAAACAAAAATGTGTACTAAATTCATTAAATATAAAACTGTCAGAAGAGTCACCACTTATGCCCCAGTTTGTTTTCAGAGATCCTGATGAAAGTGAAAAATGCTAGTTAAACTGAGTTGTTTTCTTATCACTTGGTTCTTTTATATTTGCTGGAACAATGCCATTAGACTTTATTATACATTTGTGTCATTTATCATGCTTGTGTGTACACAAAAAGGAAAATGCAAGTACAGAAGACTTAGGGTATTCCTAACCTTCTTTACATTTTTTCTTTTTTTTGGGAGACTTTTTGCTATAGGGCACATGCGCTCGCCAGAAAGACAGAGAGAGACAGAGAGACAGAAAGTGAGAAATCACCCTCCGGGGGGATGGCCACGCCGCAATCCCTTCTCCTCCGTTTTCCTCTTGGGATCTTGGGCATGTATGCACACATGCCTGGTGTGAGTTTAAGCCACTGGGTCCAGGACTTGAACCGCAGTTGACTACATGGGAGTCCAGCAACATAGTCATTACACTAACTGCTGGTCCCCACCTTCTTTACATTTTGAGTCCAATTTTTCTGAACCACTTCTTAACTATAAATTGTTAAAGTACCGTTAAGCACGCTGGTGATGCAGCATTTTTAGATATGTTAAGTCATGGAAAATGTGATATCTTATGTTTATGAAATGCAAGTGTATCATCTTACTGTGTTAAGAAATTTGAATTTAGCTACACTGCTTGACATTTTGGTCCCCTTCATACATTGTGAAAGGTCTGATAAATGCTATTTATTTATTTATTTTTTAAAGATAATTATTTATTATTTGTTATTATTATTTTAAATTTGCAATAAGGCCCATGCACTCAACAGAGAAAGAGAGACAGAGAGAGAGAATGTGCAAAGCAGGCAAATTGCCAGGTCCAGGACTTGAACGGTGGTTAGCTATGTGGAAATCCAACACCTTAATCACATGCCACCTGCTGGCCTCATCATGAGCATAATTCTTAGTAAGTTATCCTTTAAAATGTAAATAATTTTATACAATATTTTCGTATTGCAGCATTTGTCTCCAACCTGTCACATGATGTCAGGTGTGGAATTTCCTACTTGTAACCTCATGTTGGCACTAAAAAATTCTCAGATTTTAGAGCATTTTGGATTTTCAGATTAAGGATACTCAACCTGACTTATTTGAAGTTAAAATATTTTAAATATGAATGATAATTTTGATAAACATCTCCCTAAACCTATGAAACCTGTAAATGTGGACTGAATTAGATTATAACAGCTGCTCTTTGTATTACTGTCACAGAAATCAACACAAGCACATGTGGTCAGCGGGCTTGACAAGCTTTGCTAGACTCACCAAAGAAAAAGTTTATTACGAAAATATTGTATAAAATTACCTGTGGGCTACATGTATGAGGTATATATGAAACATGAATTTCATATTTAGACTTGGGTTCCATTCCCATAATAACTCTTAATGTACATGCAGATATTCCAAAATTTGAATTAATTATGGTCCCAAGCATTTCAAGTAAGGGATACTCAACTTGTATTTTTAAACTTATACTTCACTTAGGCCATTCTCTGGCACCTATGTGTTTGATAATTATAACTGTATAATGTTTTACAATTCCATATCAACCAATTTAAATATGGATTCTGCATTGTAGATTGTGAAAAGGTCTCTTGAAGTTTGGGGTAGTCAGGAAGCTTTAGAGGAAGCAAAGGAAGTTCGACAGGAAAACCGAGAAAAAATGAAACAGAAAAAGTTTGATAAAAAAGTGAAAGGTGAGTGACCACATTTTATATCATGAAGGGTTGTTATTACCACTTTCCTGTTTAAAAATATAATGTCACTAATATATTAGAATATGTTTTTCCTTTGGTTGAGAAAAAAATGTCTTTAAGTTTGTCCTCAGTAGGCGATGTTTGAGGCTCTCAGTCCAAACCTCACCTGCATTTCTTCTTTCTTTCTTTCTTTTTTTTTTTGGAGAGACAGTTTTGCTATGGGTTGTGTGTATAAGACAGAAACAGACAGAAAGCAAGAAATCACTCCCCACAGGGGATGGCCACACTACAGTCCCTTCTATTCCATTCTCCTCTTTGGATCCTGGGCACACATGCAAACACACCTGGTGTGAATTTTAAGCCATCAGGTCCAGGACTTGAACTGCGGTCAGCTATGTGGGAGTCCAGTGACATAACCATTATACCATCTGCTGGTCCCACAATACTGCATTTCTAAAAAGGCTGTGAGCCATCATGTTCAAGTGAGTCATATTCTTATATATGAACAGTGTTAGGATAGGGGACGGTATCTCCAATCAAAAATTCGCATCAGTAAATATGATCAATGGTATTATAAAAAAACAGATACCCAGGCCATATGGTGGCACATTGGTAAGCTGTTGACACTCTGCAAGGTAGACCCACATGGGAAGGTGACTGGTTTGTTTCTGGAGAAACATGTGCTCATTATTTAGGCTGGCTGAAGCTGGGGGTATGTCATGGTCTCAAGACCCTGCCGAGGGTGCTGTATCTCTGTCACTCAGAATACATAAACATTAAAAGAAGAAGAAAAAACAGAACAAATATCCACCAACAAACCTCTCTTAATTGCTTAAAATGAAAAAAAAAAAAATTGTGCCCTAACTCTTAGTCTTATAACTTAGCAGCTAGAAGAACTTTCTGATGTCAGCTTGTCTTAATTGCTTTTATTTCATAATAATTGAAAGAGAAAGGTGGAGTGACTTGTCACAGAGCTGGTTATTGGCAGAGTTTGGACTGGAACGTGGCTTCCCTGACTTAACGCCGTCTTTTGTATAGTCATCCCTCCATCCGCACATCTGTCTCTGCATGCAGCTCTCCGTGCCCTTATCCATTTGGCTCTCGTTCATTTGTCCACGTGTCGGTCATGTTTGTACATATTTATGTCTATCTGTTCATCCATCCATCAGTTCATCCAGTATTTATAAAGTATCAGCTGTGCTCAGGCACTGAGCTAACATAGATGCTGGAGTCACCGTTTGTCAGATGAGAAACTTAGTTATAGATAGTGATAGATACTGTGATAGTGGTGAACAGAGGGTGCTGGAGGAGTGCAAAGACTTTCTGCCCTATGAAAGAATCCCTAAGAAAAACAAGTCTTGAAAATGAACACAAGTGTTCTTTATGCAGTCATCAGATAGAGTTCCAGTGTAGGGTAAAGTGTGTGTAGGTAGCATGTATTTGTATATATTGGGTTATGTCTGTACACTAAATTGATTCATTTAAAATGAATGTCTTAGCCATAATAGTTTTGCTTATGTTTTTGGGATTTAGAAGATTTTGGAGGGTCAGTGGGATAGCTCAAATTTCTTTTAAAATGTGAGTTTTACCTTTTCATTAGAGGAGTAATTCAGATACAGCACAAAAAAGTTAGAAAGCTACAAGGAACGCCTATCCTGTGTTCAGAGACAATTCTTTACTAATCAGCCCTTCACCGTTCATTCTTCTAAGTTCTTTTCTATGTGTAGACCTTTAAATATTTTTTAAATAAAATTGGAAACAGTATTGGATTTTTATAAAGTTTATTAAACAACTCCATGATAAACATCTTTATATGCATCTTTATATAAATTATACTTACCCATTCCTGAATCCAAGGTAAGCACACATTTGTGGCTTTGTGGAGAGGTTTCCCATAGCAGACGAGGCCATCTAAGAGCATTTCACTGATGATTCTTCCCAAAATAAGCCACTGCTGTGTGACGGCCCTCAATGGTACTTGCAAGGACAGACTGAGAGTTTTTGGAAAGACTTCTTTTTAATGTGACCCTTTTGTTTAAAATCTTTTCCATGTTCTACACTACCCCTTCCTCTCTTCTAATAGCAAGGGGAAACCTTGAAGGATAAAGGAAGTAATGAAAAGGCATTTTAAGGGGTATGAAGAAGGACGGCACAGTTAGAGATAACTTACATACTAGCCTAGGGTTTTTCTTAACCTCAGCTACCTGAAAGCACCTCAACCCTCCTTCTTCACTGCCTCCTTAAACTACGTTCTGAATGGCATTTTGAACATGTGGATAAGGAAAGAAGTATTAATTAGAAACTTGAATTTGTGAAGTGATGAAGTTAAAAAAGGAGGACTATCTGAAATATTTTTCATAGATACTAAATTTGTACCTAAGAATGTAGGCACAAGTTTAGTAAGGGTACCTACAAAAACATAGGCACTAATTTTGTTTGGTCTAGTTGTCACCTGATGGTAACTAAATTCCTATAATTTGAATAGCAAAATAAAGGATTATGACATGTTTCATCTTATATATTTTTTTCTCTATAAAAATTCTATTAAGCATATAAGGGGAGGTCTTATTAAAATGTCAATGAAATATATTCTAAAATACTATTTTACATCAAAATAAGCTCATACTTTAATTTACTTTTCCATGAACCTTTTGAAGTTCCCGCATATGTATTACATATTAGTATGAACTTTAAAAAAAGATATCCAATTTTCACTGGTATTTTTTTTTTTAAAGAAATACAAACTTAAAAATATAAATAATTGGCTCTTTTTCCTCTCTATATTAAATTGACGCTGTTAATCACCAGATAAACTAGTATGGATTTTTGTTATCCTTGAAGAGTTCCAATTTATTTATTTACTTACTTATTTTAAGGTTTTTGCCACGTGGTGTATGTGCTTGCCAGAGAGACACATAGAGGGAAAGTGAGGAATCATCCCCCGGGGGGGATGGCCATGCTGCAATCCTTTCTCCATTCTGTTCTTCTTTTAGGATTTTGGGCAAGCATGCACACATGTCTGATGTGATTTTTCAAGCCACCGGGTCCAGGACTCCAACTGTGGTTGGCCACGTGGGAGTCCAGCACCTTAACTACTACACTACCTGTTAGCCACTACCTTAAAGTTTTTCATAGAGATAGACTTCTTTTTTTAAAAGAGAGATTTTTGCTATAGGGTGCATGCACTTGCCAGAGACAGAAAGTGAGAAACCACTCCCCAAGGGGGATGGCCACATTGCAGTCCCTTCTCGATGATCCTCTTGGGATTTTGGTCATGAACGCGTACATGCCTGGCATGAGTTTCAGTCCACCAGGTCCGGAGCTCAAACCGTGGTCAACCATGTGGGAGTCCAGCATCTTAATCACTACACTGCCTGCTTGCCCAGAATTAGAAATCTTAGGACTGGTTTATTTCAGTTCATTTATTGTTTGAATGAAGCTTGACTTTTGAATTTTTCCAAGTGGTTATATGAGTGGTGTATTTTCCGAGTCTCTACAAATAAGAATGTGTTCCTGCCTTGCCTGTGAGTATCTGAGTTCTCTGTGTTCTGTGACCACTACTTACTGTTTTCTGGTCTTTCGTGTGCAGTGAGGTCAGTGCTGTCTTTAATTACGCCCTCTTCTTGTCGATTTACTTTAGAGGTTGGTGGATATGTTCCTGTCCTGACTAGGCCACAAAGGGCTGAGAGTGGAGGAGTCACTGTAGAGATTAGGAACAAGGACCTTACTATGCAGTTTACTCAGAAGGCTCAGAACAGAGAGGAATAAAAGCAAGTCAAAAGTTTTTAGTTGAAAAGAAACTGGAACCTGGTGTCTCTTGGTCTTCTGATTTTGATCCACACAGAAGCCGACACAAGTTTACTCATTTATGGAAAGGTAAGAGATTACATTTAAATGATTTTAGAATGTGATCTGCTTTCTCAGTTTGAGAATTGATCTTACTACAGAAAAAAATTAAAGTGTAAACAGAATAAGTTAGACACATACAACTAGACGAGGTTTGTCACAGGTGTCTTAGATCCAGGAGGCAGAGTATAAATGATAGCGTCATGCTGCTCTGTGTAATTAGATCTCAAAGCATGCGGTCTGTGTTGCCCTTGCAGTTGGATAAGAATTTTGATTTTGTGCAAATATACAGAACACTGGGTTTATGTGCCTCCTTTCTACAAATAAGGTGGTAACAAATAATGAAGATTAATTTATTTTCCTTTCTTTAGAAGAGGAACCTCTACCAGGAACCTCTACTGAGAAAGGGAAAGCCAAATACAATTTGAAAGAAACGCTGCGACTAAAAAATGATTCTCACACTCACGTGGTGCAGTTGTCTAATGTGTGCTCTGGATTTACCACTCACCAGTTGTTTCTGCGTCTGTTACTTTTTCAGTTGTTGGATCCAGGATCATGTGTAAGCAGTGTCTTTTAATCCAGGCTCTTGGCCTTTTTATTCTTCATGGCATTGACATTTTTGATGTCCAGACCAGCTGTTATGCATTGGGATTTGCTGGCAGCTTGGTTTTTCATAAATAGATTTGAGTCTTAACACTTTTTGCAGGGATACTCATAGGTGTTATGTCCATGTACACCACAGGAGACACACGGTACCAGTTATCCTTGAAGGGAGTGACTGTCAGTTTGCTCATTAAGGTGGCGTATGCCAGACTTTCCCATTGTAGAGGTCTTCCTTTCTCTTCGTAATTGATAAATATGAACTATAAGGGGATCTTCATTAAGTTCATGGAAAATGTATAAAATTTGATGATGCTTGGATTTCAGCCCCTCCTCCCCCCCAAAAAATAAGCTCATATCATGTTTCAGGAACTATTTGAGTCCCCTTGTATGTGAATATCTCATTCCTTCCCTTCTCTCAATAGTTTCAGCCTGAGTCCATTTTTATCGGGGTAGATATGAATGGCGATTTTCTACTTCTATTTCTTTCTCTTTTTTTTTCTCTCTCTCCCTTTCTTTCTTGCCATTCACTGTACATCAATACAGTATACAAA